CTCCAAAAATACCGGTCATTTACTAGCCGAATTATTCGCAAAGTTTCCGAGTAGTTACCGTGGCTTTTGTTCGCTAGAACTTTTGCTCAGAAATACGGAATAAAATTTTGTGATCCACTAACTGGAGGAAGCGGTGAAATTGCCGCTGATGATAAAAACTTTATTCAAGTTTTCCATAGGGTTTCACAAAATTATACAAAACCAGATAAAAACTTCCTTTACATCGCCATTTCAATTAAAATGCGATCTATGCAAATACATTTTATGGCTGCAGATTTGTACAATACAGCAGATACACGATCAGTTCGAACGAATTCTGAAAGCCCATAACCAGGAAGAGAGATGAAGCAATTCAAGAAGCTGACACTAAAAAGATAATCCCGCCAAACGGGGCGGCTAAAGATATCCAGATTTATAAGGGTTTTGCGAGATGAGACACATATGCATAACATCGCTTCTTACGTATTTCTTATGCCACAAGAAGCTGGCCTATAATGGGACGCCCTCAAGCCAAGCGCGAAATTATGCGATACAAAAGAATGAGTATAAGAACCGTGGAATAAGCTGTATGGACTTTTTATGGAAAATATTTTCTAAATAACATATGGAAATGTTTCGCTTTTGTTGGGGCTGTTTCAATAATTGAAAACCTGCTATTTAATAATCTTTTTTCATATTAGGTACGGCTTTATGCTATATGGAAAGTTATGGATTGAATGGGACACAGACGATATAAAATAAGCGTATATCATATTCCTTTCGCTGTAATGAAAAAAGTCAAGTAAGCGACAAAATTGTTTTGCATAAACATATATATGCGTCATTTTTCTGGAGTTGTTTAGGAATAAGAAAGGAGTAACAAATTGCAAATAAAAAGGACTCTTTGTGATGCAAAATTTTATTAAACGCGACAAAAGCCTCCTTCTTCGAACTATTACTCAAATTATTACTCTTCACGATGGTAATCATGTCTTCAGCAATCAGATCTTCACTATCACTTTCTTCATAAACGTGACTTTCTCAAAAAAAAACAATTTTCTTTTGATAAACAACACACTGTAGATTCCACTCGTTTCTTGGATCTTTCTTCTATTTCTCTAAAATATTTTTTTTATACATTGAATTAAGCCTGTTATTCTAAGTGGGATTTTGTACATTCTACAGTATGATTTTGCAATTTAATCCTCACATACTGATCTGGATGTTCCGTACGATTTCCAGGATGGTTTGCTCCAATACAAGCAAATTGAAACTGTCGAAATCATCAAATATAAAATTTAAAAGTCCGTCCATTTTGCAACTAGAAACGTGTACAAACGTGTATTTGCTGCTTTTAATAAAACGAAAATATATATTTTCCAAAAATCTTCAAGAGACGCCACAAAAATCTCCGCAATTTCTGTGTTACGTCCTGTTTAGTTCAGCAAACTCGCAGTGGATCTCAATGCTTTATTTATATCTTATATCGTTTACATTATTCACGCACTGCTGTTTTTCCTCTACCTTCATCTCTTTGCAATGCCAACAGGTCACAGTCTTCTATTTTCATAGCAAGATGATTTTATTATAGATTGAGTTAGTGAGAACCTGCGTACAAAATTAGACGTTCTAAACTCAGAGTGGTTGAAACATTAAGTATAGTTAGCTGCAAGCCGGATCCAGGCAAATAGCCAGTTGAACATTAAACGCCGTTATAATAGTCCTGTTCGGCTTCAGTTATCATTGTATCCACATGTACTCATCCAAATAGCCAAAGCTGCACATTACAAACCCTCCAACTAGCAAAATGAAACGCAGATATTCGTAACGGGCTGACGTTTTACATTTTCTCTCTGTAAGATAACATCAACGTTATAATGACTTGTCCTCAAGCCAAGAAAGGAATAATACGATGCAAAACAGTGAATACACGAACTGTGGAATGCTCCACATGCATCCTTTTTGTAATGCATATTTCGTATGAATAAGGAGCTGCTCGCTGGAACGTCACCGATATGTGGAGAATAATAAGCTACGAGGACAAGAATTTGCAAAAAGTGAAATGGCAATTTCATTTCCAGCATTTCTTGCCTATGCGAGGCAGTTTTGAGAACATGACCATGTGTTTTGCAAGCGCCGAAGACTAATTATAAATTACAACTACCTAAAAAGCTTCTCGACAAACCCATATCTTTGTTGTTTCGACTATGTTTGTCCGACTTACAGATTTATTACGTTTTTTAACATGTTGCTAAAATTTCAAAGTGAAGTGAGATCTGCAATTAATTTGAGTTTTAAACCAACAATATCTCATTTGTATTTCGCACACACCTAAGGAACACATTCGGCATTTTCTAATAACCATCTGTTCAAAACATCCAATTTACATCTTACCACTTCCTTAAGTAACGCTTTCCCATCTAATATTCGCCCACAGTCATCGTTATTATTTATATAAACTTTAGATAGAGCCCAACCACACTCAATTACGCCTTTAATTCCACCAACTTCGAAAATTCCGTATTTTGTTCGAAAATTGTCTTGTGATTTATTATGCAATTTTCGCTGCCCAAACTTTCATAAACTAAGTAGAGAGAAGTTTTGAAATTGAAATAAAGGCCAAACCCTAATTTCATTAGCGGTTGATTTTATTTTTTGTTGCTGTTTTTAATATACGGCGCTGGCTTTGTGCTTAGCTAACATCTAATTATAATGTAGTGGAGAATATTTCCCGTTCTCGTCTAAAGTTTCAGCTTGGAGCGAGGAAATTGAAATTAACATTTTTTTTTGAAAGAGATAAAAAGATGAATGGAAATTAACTGACTGCTGCGCTTCTGACTGACTTCTCACATTCATAGCAGGATTGCAATATTTATAACTTTCATATTAAGACGCAAAAAATATATATTCGCACCTAATTGCCATTAGTACGATTAAGATTCAAGGAACATTTGTTCCATTAACTATTTTATATCAAATTCTTCAAGATAATATATTTCACTATCTGGAGTGGTTGTGAATTGAATGAAGATGGTTTTCATCGTGAATAAAACATTTCTTTCGCCTAATGGAAAAATATTCATGGAAGCTAATTTCCTCAAACTATACCGATGAGAAATTTTAAGTGCTCTCGTGGTTTCAAAGTCTGTTTCCGTCAAAACCGTTTCTTTTCGCCGGATATTTTGATAATAAATGGGTGCAACCGAAAGAAATGTTTCAATTTTTTTGCGAAGCTTTGCAGCTCGAGTAATACTTTATGTCGGAAATTCGGAGAAAATATTTTGCCTTCGAGATTGAATTTTATTATTTTCCATTCCACTGCAGAGATGGAAACTGTCGAGTAGATTCGAATTCTGTGAAATGTTAAAGCCACTTGGTTTTCTCGGTTTAATATCCATTAAGGAACTATGCAGTTTGTGTATTTTAAACTAAGTAAATGGATTCACCCTTTTCGGAAAATACTACTCATTGACTGAAATATTTTGCTCAACAGGATTTAAAGTAATTTTTAGGTTTTATTTTTGGAGTTATTCGTAATTTGTATTCAAACTGCGCTAAGCTCTGCAGAGGACTTGAATGAATCAGCTGAAGTCAATAATTCTTCTATTTGGTATCCAAAGCGTGTGCACAGTTTATGGAAAACGAACAAATTGCTATTAAGTTGGGCACACACTTTCTCCTAAATCAAAAGACAAAGATCCTAAAACCTATTGCGGCTATTTTACAGAATTTTCTACTCTAGATCTGCAAAACCCCTTGACAACACTTGTATATCCGATTAACATAAAATAACATTCGCCTTCAAAACACCAATTTCAAAGTGAAAATGTCGTTTCGAAGACACTAAGTGTTTCGTAAATGCATTCAGCAAGAGTCCATCAGAATTATGCTCGAGCTTAACTTTATTATTAGATTTTCTACCAGTCTGATTCTAAAAGCGCAATTTTAATGGAAGCATCTGCCTAGTAGCAATTCAAGCTGAGCACATTGTTATATCGCTACTTTTGTTTGATGGCTTTGTCTATTAAAATGCGTCATTTTGTGGCGTCATTTCAGCTTTGTAATTAATAAATACTCATATTTTGAATAAGGGATGGAAATTGTGCCAGCAGCAGGGAAAAGTATATTAAATAACTCGCACAAAAACTTTAATACACAAAATCCTTTTTCCTTAAATACACAAAATCAATGTAAATCATTTAAGAAGTTTTATTCAATGTGTGATAATACTAGAGCTGCAGCAACGTTATCTAAAACAAAAATCGGTCAATTCCTAAAACAAAATTTTTAGGGTCTCTAATGGTCGTAACGACTACATAAACATTTATATAACTTATGCTCGTTTAGGTTAACATGTGTTAAAATAGGATTATATTTCTGAAAACACGACACCGAAACCCTACCTCATATTGCAATTCTTGTTTTAATTGCTATTTGTCAGTTTAGAACCAGATTAAACTTAATTTAGGTGGTCTAATTGTGTTGTTATTTCCTCTAATGGATCTAAATTGAGAAAGTTTCCAAAACTACCTCCATACAGCGAATTTGTCAAAGCAGTTAATTATTTACTTGCTCTGGAATAGATTCAGTGCCTGATCCAGACTGATAAAATCTGTTTGTAACTCGTTGCTCTACTTTTTTCTGTATTGTTAACTCGGAAACAAGATTCAATAAATATAGTTTAAATCAATTAAGACCAATAACTAATTGTGGGCTTCGATAATTAATGTAGAAGAAGTTAGTAGCCTAAAATCATTGAGAAAGTGTGTCACGGATATGCGGTCCAATCAAGAATCTTCGACAATTCTATCATAGGTTTTCCTAGTAGAGTTTCTAGTTAAAATCAAAAGGCCCATAACGATTTCATAGTTTTATACGAACATTCTGAACTAGAAGAAAAATAATTTATCAACAGCTCATATTCATGAATAACCCAGCTTCAATTTGGTTAACATATGAGGTACTCCAAAACTCGAATGAAATACTCAAATTAGTCTTGAGTCAAGTACAAATTCACTTACCCACAATAGTTAGATAGACAGGAATTCCAACTGGAGGAGTTGTACTAATTTGGCACTCGTAGATTCCAGAATCCTTCTTTTGCGCATACCGTATCCTCAAAGTCCATTCATCTGTATGTGGGGTATGTTTTGCCTCAAAACGTTGATCAGACGTATAAGTATAGCGACCAACAGTTAAAAGGTGGATATCTCGATGTCTCACCCAAGAAACCTGCAACAAAGGGAAATGGGGATTGTAAAGCTTTGTTTGTTGCTAGCAGCTTAACTAACACTAAGACGTGTAATTTTTGGAGAAGTATTAAAGAACAGCACTAAATTTTTTGCTAGTTTCTATAGAAAGTTACAAAATATCGTCGACAGAAAGGTAGATATAGAGCGGAAAACAATTGGAGTTTCCGTCAGACGCTGAACAAACCTTAGACAAACCTTAGAAAAATAGACAAAAAAATTCTATGGCTATTGCCGTAAAAATATGGTAGGATTATGTGCGTTTACTAATTATATTAGACTTGCCCAGAAGAAACAATTTTAGTTGAATCTAAATTTTACTTTAACAATTAAGCATTTATGGCATCATTCTTAGCAAAAGCCAATTTTCCACAAAGGCAAGAAAAATATATCAAATTATCCCAACGTTGTTTTTTGCAAAGGAAAATCCGAGAATTCACAAAATAAATATTTGGTTTCAACAAGACTGAGTTACGCCGCATAACTTTGCGCTTACCGAATTATTCAATTATCGGTTATCTGAAAAGTAAAGCTTGAAGAAGCCGACCTGTTGACCCCCTCAAGTTGCAAATTATCTCGTTATTAACGAATTCTATTTAATCATACAAATTCATTGTACGTGTTAAGGTTGAATGCGTATGTTTTAAAGTTCTCAACTGAAATTCGGCCAGTTGTTTACTGAAAAGCCTTGAGAAGCTTGAGGGAAATCAATTCGTAACAGAGCTGAATTAAGCATTTTACAAAAACTCGAACAGCAAAAACATGAAATAAATCATAAAATAAATAAAATACATATAAACTACCGACTGATTTGAATTGCTACAAGTGATATCAATAACTGTGTAATTTTAATTCTATTTGATAACGGGACAGTTGCCAAATAGAGTTATTTTCCAAATATATTCATAGAGTTATTGCTTCCGATGCATGCACAAATGAATTTCGAACAAATTGACTTTTATAATCCAATAATGTCTAACTAAATTACATTTGATTATTTTATTCCCGTTTGAGATTCGCAATTAAATAGTGCCAAAATAACACTTTGAACAGCAAAACTTATTTATAGTCGATTTTTTTAATTAACTTTTTATTTACATTCTTTTTTGCATTGTAAAAAAGGTAATAAAAATTCCGGAAACTTTGCTTATCGGTAAATATACAAAAATGCAGCTTTTTGTGACTGAGAATAAGTTGCAAGCATTTCAGCAGATTCAAATAAAAAGACATGATTACTAACAACGATTCCTTTAAAATACTTTCATAACTATGTAAATATTCCCACCTAACGAACAAACTTATTAACGCTAAGAAACCGCAAGCAGTTATTGCTGACTATAAGCCTCAAACCACTTAAGTTTAAATTTGCCAGCAAGCTTTGCAAAGTAAACCTTGTTTTAATAATACATATAGCTTTAACCTTGCGTAGTCCACAACTAAAATAGGCGATTTAGTATGCAGCGTATGTTGTTTTGTTTTAGTTGCTAGAAAATAGGATGGTACTTAGCTTGAAACAATGTTTAATATCGGTCCTATATGTTTCAGCAAAATTTTCTTTATACATACTTGCGTTGCCTTTGTTTGCAGCCGCAAAAAGGATGCGCTTAGTTAACTTGTTGCAGCAGCTTTTGCTTCCTGCAAAGCGAGCTTCAATGTTTAAGCGAAATGCAACAAAATTTAATAACAGTCTTTTAAAAATGGAAATGATAATCGTACATTTATTCGAGTTTTCTTTAAACGTTGTTAGAATTTTTACATATTTAGTTACTATTCAAATTATTTCTGCGCGCTATTGCCACAAGTCCACCAACTCTTGACTTGCTTCTAGTAAGTTATACAACTTTTATTATTAATGCAATATAAATTAAAAAGTAAATACTCGAAGTTGCGACACATATTCGAAGAAATGTTGACTTATTTTTGATTGAACCAAAATCAACTTTATTTCCTCTCGGTTGCCGAATGAAATCTAAAAATTAGCCACGTTGGCTAGAACTTGGCCGCCGGCAAGCAATTAAAAAGTAAATTGAACTTAAAAAAAAAATAAATGCCCAAGCCAAGATAAGTTTTCTGATTTATCCCCCACGTCGCAGCGATAAATTTGGCAAAATTCCACCAGTTGTATCCTTGTCCGGAAAATGTGTCGCTGATTTTGTATATTTAATAAGTGTCAACAAAACTAGTTGAACAGATAATAGATTTTCCTTTATATTAAGCGCTTTGCAACATTATTTGTTTTAACTTGTATGCTTTCAGCTCGCATGAAGAAAATCCTTCTGCACCCTGAGAGCGTTTGCTACAATTAATCTACGTTCCGGTGGAATAAAAACATCAAACGCAATTTGTTTTCTAAAGCCAATTAGCAATAATTTTTAAGAGCTCATTTAACTTATATTTTTCACGCATTCAAACTGCGGAGGACTTTCGATTGAAAGCTCTGCTCTCAAAGTGAACACCTTTGCAAACGGTAACAAGCAGTGTTTTTGCGTGGGTAAATTATTATTTAATCCTATACTTCATCGAAATACGCAAAAACACCTTTTCTAACTGTTTTTATCGAAGAAATTGAGAAACAGCTTTCTATGTCAAATACTTTATAGACTTGCCTATTATATTTGATTTATTGGTAACTTTCAAAAGTTAAAAACTTTAAAATGTTCACCTTCTAATGTTAACGTTCAAGCCAGATTTTACTTCCAATTAAGATGCGTTTTGCTATATAAATCCTGGGGAAGGAAAATGCAGATATTCGTGGCACCTGCAGACGTATTAAAAGGAAATTTAGGTTGGTATTCAGCTTCTCCATTTACATTTTCAGAATTCATATTTTGACCGAAAAGGTGGAATGTAAAGTAGCAGCTACCAACCGAATGTTTATACTTCATTCCCTCGATCCTTTATTGGTGTAAAAGACGTTTTCAACTCGGTTTCCATGCTGGCCTGCTTCCAGCTGATAAAATGGTGAACACGATGGTACTTTTCTGTTGATAAGATTGAAATATCCGGCTTTAAATATATATGAGACTTCCCTAAATAAAATGTGAATTTATGAAAATGAAAAGCGCTTTGCATTTTTAATTGCACACTCAGCAACGATTTTTATTCAAATTTTAGAGTCTAGTAATTCCATTAATTTTCCTAATACCCGTCCTATTCTCTCAAAGATTAAAAAACATGTTTCTATTTCGTTTAATCATTTATCTTCATTATAATGATGAAAACTACGAACATATATAGTTAAATAAACAGAAATAAACAGATAAAACATATTTTTTGAAATATAGAGCACTTTCTTATGTTTAATAGGCGCTAATATCTTTGGAACAATACTAATTAGAACCAGGCTAAATATAAAATCGACATTGATCCGCAGATTAAAAGTTTCAAAGCAAATAAAGCAACAGAATGAAGACGTATACTAATTATTACGTAGGCCAAGGAGCTTAGATAAATATGAACCAACGAAAGTTTACTTTAGACGTTGAGCGGCAAGTTTGAAGTTTATTTACTTTCCTCGAACAGAAACCAGGAGAAATAAAATCCAGTTAAAAGTGGAAAATTATATTGCTCCTGAGGACTACTACGTTTCTTAGTGCGACACTTTAGGGTGAAATTTAGAACCCTTCTTTACACAGCAAATTAAAGCCTACAACTTCCTTGTGGCTTTTAGGTAAATTTCGACGATTCATCCTTAAACATAATTTTCGCGCTGGCTTTTCAAACGAATAGTTACTTCCTGCGTTGAGTTTCCCTTTCAGAGAAAACTTGGCCGTAATCCTTCAATTTTAAATGCTTTTGAGCTGTGTTCAAAATAAGATGTAGCACATTCGTTTTTGATCGGTTATTAGGACCTCTAGTAATATTATAATAATATTTCATTTATGTAATTAGCCCAGAACTTTTACTCGATAAAGGTTATAGGCAGTTACTACTTGGATCGTTGGGAGTAAATACAATTATAAAGACAAGGAAAATCCAATTACCGAGTTTTGCTGATTAAGGGAGTTGTAACGGTTTCGATACAGTTTAACTCTATTCCACATGGGATTGGAATTAATAATAAACCTGTGTACTTTATGTACCAAGCTGGGTGGATCGCCATAGTCTAGGCAGTATTCAAACAAATACGTTAAGATACAATTTTCAGCGAGTATTTTTATATTGATTGATAAGAGTTTGAGAATGTGGGAATTAGAGCAACATTTTAAATGTGTGTATTAGCAGGAGAAGAAAAACAACTTAAATGGAGGTGGAGTGATTTCAATATGAGCCAGATTGCGATCGAAACCGACAATTGGAACGGTTGGCCGATTTTTTAGTTTCTTCAAACAATAAATACCTAGATAAGTTCTATATTGTTGAGGCGGATTCATTTTTTTACAAACTTT